ACATATCTGCAATTCAGAGCAATTTGCCAAATAGCTCATTGCCTTTTCTCATCATCCTCAACAGTTTATAATTTCAAACAAGATCTTCATTTTGTTTTATTTGACTACAACATCCGACATGATAAATTATTAGGACACAAACTAATAAAACAGAATTTTCATGTTATAACGTATAGTTATTTTAATTGTTTTATTTTAGTGTCTCACAAAAAACATCTTTACAAAAATAAAATTCTCATATCAATACTTGTTTTGTTCACTTTTTCCCCTAACAAACAGAATACCCATCACAATGAACATTTTTAGGTGCTTTGCATCACTTTATAGAAAAAAAAATATTTGTATTGGGAATTTTACTCTACATAATTTGTGCAAATTTTTGAGCAAGATTTTTAGAGTAACACATGGCATATTTTAGATGTTTTTATTGCATACAAATCCAGACTGTAGTGATAACCTACATCAAAAAAATACTTTGTGAACTTAAACTACCGTAATCTTCGAAAACCAAACAGTAGCATGGTCAATTACGAATTTAAGCTCATCCCACTCCTCATTGGAATATTTTAAAACAGACATGTAGGTAAAACATTATTTTAAATAATAATAATCATGATAATGATGGTGATGATGATGACAAGAGTAGTAGTAGTAGTAGTAGTAGTAGTAGTAGTAGTAGTAGTAGTAGTAGTAGTAGTAGTAGTAATAATAATAATAATAATAATAATAATAATAATAATAATAATAATAATAATAATAATAATAAACATTTACATAGAATAAATAGCAACCATAACAGATGATTCTAACTGTTGAATGCAGAAGGTTGGTATAGGAGGGAGATTTACTTGCCAGTTGCTTCTTGAAGTAGTTAGAATCTCTCCCATCCTAGCTAAGCCTAGAAAAATTTGGAATTTTTCCCCCCCTTTCATACGCATGAACCATTCTGTGCTCTACATACACACACACAAATATAGAGTACAATAAAAAAGAAATAAAAACTAATACAATATCGCACTTTTGATTGTGATAATCTATTCAACAATTTATTCTTCTAGTGGAAAATTTGAAATGTAATGAATAAAGGAATAGAAAATTAAAACAATGTGAAAATATTAAGGGTGTCAGAAATTTAAAAAATACAATGATACCATACACAAATAAATATATACCTAACAAAAATACATGGCAACTTGATTCTGTTAAGATAAGTTTCTGTCAATACACTCACATAAACATGATTATCTAGTACACAAACATGGAAGAGCTAATTACATCAGAAGTTCAAATAGCATTCTTGAGTTTTTAAGACAAGATAAACGAAACCAATACTGAAAACATCGAAAGTTGAATTTGAAAGCTTACATTAACATGAAAGCAGACAAATGTACACATGGATGAATAGACAACTGGCCAGCCATAATGGTAGGCAAATGAACAAATACAGGTTGAGTCACATAACTTTAGCATCCCCTGTAACTTTTGAACAGTTCAAGTTATTGCAATGCTGTTTTCATGGAATTGCATGAGGAAATTGGGCTAATTGATACCTGTATTCATTTCTATTTTATCACTTGTGTTTTATGAGATATTTGAGGTAACTTTGTTTTCTCAAATGGAACAATATATATATTTTCCATCTATCATGACAAGCATAAAAAGACTAATCCAAAGACATACATGTTGTCATATGTTATATAAGCAGTTTTTTTGAGTAATTTTGATATTTTTGCGACTAGTGTTTAACAGATATTTTGAATGTATCAGTCGCTACACAAGGTCACACAGCGCTCCCCCTGCTAGCGCGTACTAGGGGAAGGGAAGAAATCGTAGTATTTGAGGATACGAAACATATTCTGAATATTCACAAAAATATATATATATATATAAATTCCCTCATATCCTTCCATGAAAACACCATTGCAATAACTTCAACTGCCAAAAGTTATAGAAGGTGTTATAGTTACGAGGCCCGCTCTGTATACAAACAGGCAAGAAGGACACTGACGGACAGAAGCACAGATGAATGAGGTGATCAGGTTGGCAGACAAACACAGGAACACACAGACGTACAGACAGACTGAAACATCCAGGCAGCTAAGCAGACAGATGGTCAGAGACAATCAGATAGCCAGGCAGCTTCACAGATGATCAGGCAGATAGACATACAAACACAAATACTCAGACACAACCTACCCTATACGCGTTCACTTTGTGCACTTCGTGCAAAGAATGCATAATAAAAAAAGACCTTAAAATAGAAAAGATACAGAAGTAGTGAATCTTCCTTGTCAGAGTGGACAGCATATTAGACAGTCAATGCTGCAAAATTAAGCACAGAAAACTTACATCTGGCACTTATTTAACAGAAAAAAATCAACTCTGAATCATAGGCAAAATGACCCTGCATCACTGAATTCCAATAATAAAATGAAATGCACTGACAAATTTACAAAATGCACTTGTATATTGACAAATCTGTTTTGTAATAAAGTAATTTATTGTATCAGTGCATTCCATTCAACATAAGATACCAGCACTGCTGGGATAGTACATACTTAAAATTTAAAAAAAGTATTATTATTATTATTATTATTATTATTATTATTATTATTATTATTATTATTATTATTACTACTAAATAATCTAATAAAAGTACAAAGGTTTTATTCACCCAAAGCAAAACACCTCACTTGGGTACAAACATATAGTGTTGCAAATGTTAGTGTAAATGCATGAGCATCTGAACATACAAATGCATTCTGCAAATAAATCTGTTTACATTTTCTTATTTGCAATATCACAATACCTTCTGTTATCCTCATTCCAATGAAATCTAATGCTTATGTGTTTTGTATATTACTCTGCTAAGCTAGGAGTCTCCAGCAATGCCTGCCACTTGCATTTTATTCTTCTTAACCCTCACTCAAACAAATTCAGAGAGGGAAACAAGAGAAGGAAATTTTAAGATGATATGCAAAGACGACATGATGAACCATAACAACTGAAATATTGCCATGAACAATGAATACACAATGAATGACCTACTGCCTGCCTGCCTCATTTTAAGTCTACAATCATCGACTATTACTTTTTCCACAACTCAAATCAAATAATCTCAACATCAAATAATCTATCTGCACAAAACATAATTTTAAAATATTCTTCTTTGGCCTAAATCTAACACATTACATTTCACTTCAACAATCACAAACATTATTTAGTGGGATAAATATCACCAAATTGGTGTCTTTCACTTACATTTCAAATGAGGACCTATGTATTGTATATTACTGCAAGTAGTATTCATACAAGTGCACAAGTATTGCCTACCTTTCACTGGAAAACAATTTTACTTATACTCGAAAAACATTAATTCATTTGTATTTTTTAGTAATACAGAAAAATCTCCCTGAAAGACAACCCCTCGCAATGATCAATTTTTCTTGGAATGAACACTGAAATCCACATATGGTACATAAATCATACCCCTGTCAACAGACCACTCCTCTCCCTGACCATCACTAGCAACTTTCTTAATTTGGCACTTTAAAGAGATAACTCATGAAAATTGTAAGAATACAGTGTACCACACGAACAGTAGTTGACATGAAAATTTCAAACTCACAGACCATCTTGGACTAGACAAAATCTTAACACAAGAATCAAAAAAATTAAATTTACTATAAACAATATAATACTTATGAAAGCCTCATTTCTAGAAGAAGAAAAAAAATTCAATGTCAAAGACCAAAAAAATGTATTTTATTCAAAATCAAGATCAAGTGGTTTCCTCAACCATTTTCCTTCAATATCTCCACACATTCACAAAAATGTAATAATTAAAAAATCAAAGTAAAAATGTGGAATTTAAATGTTTTGAAAAACCAAAAGAAAATTGATTTCATTTAATCAATAGTAGAATTATTATAACGGACATCAAACAAAAATTATTACAAACATGAAATTTTCAATATATCCTAAACAAGCCTCACATTTATTCATATTGGGATGGAAACAATCATACATGAAAACTTGAAATATGAATTATTTCAAAAATATTTAGAAAGAGTTTTCAAGAACTGTGGTTAACTTATTGTTGCACTTTCTTCTCATTATGTGGCACAATGTTCAAAAACCAAATTTAAGTAATTATTAACTGATCAACAGGGATGTTCACTTGCCAATATAAACCTATAAAAATTATGGTGAAAAATGTATATAAAGTGTCTGAGACCACAAAAAAACTATATAGGGGATAATAATCCTTCTGGATATAGAAGACACAGATAACTCAATGAAATGGAAGATTATAGGAAATAAAAAGATGAAAAAGGACAACAGAGAGGTAGTGATTTTTTCATGTGCATAGTATTGCCAAATATGTTAATTTATTCAGTATGTATGAACAGAGACAAACACTGTCACTTTTGTACTTGCAAACTGATACACTCATTAATTTACCAATGGGGAAGAGACCAGAAGGAACAAATTCTCAATTCCTTTACGTTAAAAACTAAATGCGTCCTTTACGTTAAAAAGTAATGTTCTATGTTTTAATAAATTATTAGTTTTGCAAACCTCATCCACCTCAATTGCAGTTGATTAAGATATCACCAAGCAACAATTGGTACATTTGTTCCTTAACTTCCCCAAAAATACTTTAAAAATTACAAACAACACTGAGTATCCTCGGCTAGTTCATCAATAAATGCCACATTGTATGTTTGACAATGATGCTATCTACAATAAAATCCATAATAGATTTGAGATCAGTTAGGTAATTTTACAAACAATTTTGAAAATGCATGCTTGTTGATCTATTGGAAAAATGCTACATGCTAAATGAGTCATAATACAAAAAAAATAATTTTAAAGAATAGTGCAACTTAGTGGTTAAATGTTTAAGTATTTAGGCTACAGAAAGATCTTGTACATAGCAAATTAAACAAGCTTATGTAGAATTGCCAAGAATAGTCACAATAAATTAGAAAACTTACCACTTCCTGGTTCCTCAAGGGGCTCCCATTCTGTATCTTCCCAACCAGACTGACTTCTCAAATTCTGGGAGTCAGGCTGAAAAAAACAAATCATTGCAATACAAGAACATTGCAGAGCCCTAAAAAAATAGGAACAATTTTATTATTACAAGAAAATCTTTTGCTACAAAAATTACATTTCATTTTAATTACATTCTTTATTTATCTTTGTTTTTTTGCAATTAAGACATTTTCACTTAACAATTAAATAAGATTCGCTCTTGCACTTATCACTACAGAATAGCTTTATTTGATACAATTTGTATCCAAGTCAAACATATTTGTTCTGCTCTGTGGCAGATGTCAGACATATCTGTTCTCTTTTCTGTTCTGGTCTGTGGCATTTGTACAGTTGAAGCCACTAGAAATAACAATCAATATTACAATGTACATTGAATAATACGACCAACAAATAATTTTACTCAATTTGTGATCACATAAATTTTCATTATTTTCAACAGACAAAGCACATGTCAAATGGTTGGTAAGTTAATTCATGAATCATGCATTAATTCATGAATCACACTACATAATTAATAGAGGATTATAGAATAATTAAGACAGCAAAACAGTAGAATGTAGTAATAAAGAAAAGTAACAGAGCAATTCTATTGATTTTTAACATGAAAACCATGCAACTTTGATCTCTCACAAATTATTTTTTATGGGAATTGACTTCCTTCCTATTAGATCATTGACATTGTATTTCTGGTCTTAAGGTCTTCTATCTGTTGCCAAATTTCCACTTGGTCTTCCTCTTCGGCCCAGCCATTGTTTTTGTTCTTTTGTAGTTATTTTCTTCTCAATGTACAGTGTACTTCTAGGTACCTTCCTTCACCTTCTACATCTCTCTGCCACTACTACATCCTCAAGTATCTCTTAACGAGAAAGATTTTTTGATATTGTGTCCATTGCTGTACCTCTTCAATTATGTCTTCACTTCCAACAATCTATCTTATCACCCATTCTCTTCAGTACCTGCCCATTTATCAATATCTCTCTAATTGTATTATCCCTTTCTTACCCTCTTTCTTTTAGACCATTGAACTTACCTTTTTTCTCATCATCTTTATTTGCATGCTAAATTCTTCATGATTCATTTAGATCAAGTAACATCCGTTTCACTCCCCTTTTGCTAGCAACACCAGATTATCAGCAAATCTTTAATTTACATTCAACTCTGTGTTACCTGATATTAACCTTCTTCCATCTAAGCAGAAGAGCTTCCATGTATGAATACAAATATTAATTACAACATATAAAATCATAAATAGAAAAAGATAATGTGACTCTTCTTCCAACCTTCATATCTTTTGATAAAAATTTCATACTACAAGATATAATGAAAACATGAAATGAACATTACAGAATGAAAAAGAATTTTTGACATGTTTTCATGGAGTAAACCCATGAATATAGGTCTCTTATTAACGTGTGAGCTCTCTTAATTGACAGTGTGTTTTATAAGAATTTAGCCAGTTATTTCAATACTTCTTTTTGTGATTTATAGTAGTAATTGGTCGGATATTTTTTACATTTAAAATTTAGATTATGTGAAATTTAAAATTATAAAGTGAAGTAACTTTTAGGTTATGTCGGTAATTGTTAAATTCAAGTAGCCCATAGTTCTTTTAATTCTTAATTTTAATTTTAATTCTTAATTTTCAATTCAATTTTAATTCTTACAATTAGAAACTGCTGGAAGACATCATGTGTGACATATGCAACATAAGCACTGATGCTACCAAATATCTAACTTGTGACTGCTTAGTGCATTACAACTGTGTTCAGCTGACATCAACTGGACAAACTGAAGTGTTTGGTGTAAATTAAACAAGAAATTAAAATATCTTTGCTCAGATTGGTCTGCTGGTCTTAAAAGTGTTCCTATAATGTCATCAGTGAAGTTAATGGAAAGTAAACTATATGATTTAAATGCTTTGGTGGACACCATGAAATTATTTCAAGATTAAACCAAGAAAGTTATGGAAGATATGGATTTGTGAATAAATAAATAGAAATACAGTGAATCTACTACGTAAACCTCTAACATTTTATTTACAATGTTTATGAAAGACTATTCTAATCTAAGAATTTTGTATCATTATTATGGAATAGGATATAAGTGATCTTGCTTCTGTCATAAATCATGACAGAATAGCTATTCAGAAAATTCTTGACACCTTAGCTGATGCTACTATAACTACTTGGCTGTCTGGGAGACGACATGTCCCAGGCACAGGTGTGACATGCAACATTTGCAAGTTTTGACTGCCATTCTGCGAAATGCATTTCGCACTGGGGAAGTTCGCAGAATGGTAGCCAAAACTTTGGCACCTGTGCCTAGGCTGCAGAGTCTCCAGGACAACCAAGTAGTTACTGACTCTGGTTGCAGAAGCCTACACTCTTACCTGATGCTACTTTCACAAAAATAATAAGAATTTCACAAAAATAATAAGAATCTCACAAAAATAATAAGAATCTCACAAAAATAATAAGAATCTCAAGAAAAGGCAAAGAATGTTCAAAACCTCTGATGGTTGTATTTGATGAAAGTAACAAAGTTGTTGAGATCTTAAAACTAAGTTTTATCTATGAAGACAAGTTAAATTTTCACACTGATTTTACCAAAATGCAAATTAATCACTTAAAACATCTAATATCTGATTTACAAAAAACAGAAAACATTGAGGTAAAGTATGTAAAGTTTTTAAGAGGTATACCTAAATTAGCTGCATTCCCAAAAATAAAGACATAACTAAAAATGATAAAATGGACTCAAAAACCGAAAGGATCAGTTAACTATTATTACCAAAACATAAGAGGACTGCATATTAAACTACATGATTTGAGCAATTTTGATATGGAAATTACTTGTCCTAATGAAATTATTCTCACATCGTTACATAAAGAGATGGTGAATTAAATATGCTAAATTATAACACTTAGTGAAAATAGAAACTATGTAGAGAGTCAAAAACAAAGGGGAAGGGAGGTTTTAATTGCAGTTCAAAAACAATTAAGAAGTATTAAATTATTATCCTCAAAAAATGTATTTGAACAACTATTTGTTCAAATACAACCAGGTATTAATAAGCATGTTCCTGGTACTATTTTCCATCCAACTGACCTATTGATTCCTATATTGATCACTCAAAAGCTGTAGATGAAGTTTCAATTTTAAAAAAGACAATATCAGCTTTACTTTTAAAAGTAAATTATAATTTATCCAACATTAACTGGATTAATAATGATCTCGGGAATTTCCCCGAGTCCATAACAGGGGCATCAATAATTTCCCAACTAATTTTGAAAAGGCAGTAACTGTTCAAGTTTCAATAATTTCAATCAGTACTTTACTGAGAACACAAATCTGTAATTATGCGATCAAAAATCATAAATAACTCAATATACTTGTATGAATTTGAAAGGTAATAAATTGAATATTATATTTTTGAATGGAATTATATATTTGTTTTTCTTGCACCTTTCATTATTGTCATATTAATGTCATTTATAATAAATATCTATTAAGTTTCCATGAATTTTTTTCTGTACAAGGGCAATTCTGCCCATTAAAATTTTATAATAAAACAAAATTTAAAAAAGCGATTACTTACTTGCAATCTATTACTTAATCCTGTTTCACGAGTTTCCCCCCAATTGTATGCACTGATAGATTTCACATTAGAATCATCAACAGGAGCAAAATCTGCAGTACCCCAACCTTCACTAGGACTATTCAAATCTCCTCCTTCAGCAGCCTGCAATAAGTAACAAAGTAGTTATTTATACATCAAAACTGAAAAGTAAATGTTTTTTGTTGTTGTTGTTTTTTGTTTTTTTTTTGGAAAAAAAGGGAGTCCAAAAACATTACTTTCAGACAAGGTGCATATAACTTTTTTTGTACTCTATCAATATTTATAGTTGTATTGCTTTCACGCACATTATGGTCATTATTCTCATTACTATAGTGAATGATTTACCCCAGAAGGTGGCAGTGTCAACCACCTGCTGGATGGTGAGATCCAGCACCAAACAGCACATCAGCTTGCAGGGGAATTCCCACATCCCGGTATCTCCCACATTGGGACAAGCTCTGAGCTCCCAACACGTGTGGTGGTTTAGTGCATGGGAGTTTGAGTAGAGGGAGAGGATAAGGGAAGCAAGATGGAAAAAAGACCACGATTCATGGTCCAGTTGTTGAAGTACTGCTCTGGCATTTGCTTGGTCTGGCTGAGAAACCACAGGAAACTACTCGTCAGAGTAGCTATATACTAGAATTCTCTTATTTTTCTATCTTATTTTTTAAGATTCCACACAGTGATTGAAATCAACCTTGCTATCTAGCTAGTTCCAAAAATCCAACACCATCATGTCTTAAACCCTCGGACCTCCCAGTCAGTGTCACTGCATAGACCTCAGTAATACTGTCTCTGAGCTAACTCTGCCAGTTTTATAATTGTAGATTAAAAAAAGTGTTCAAATGCTGTTAATGTCAGAAACGCTAATCATTCAGAGGAAAGTATCAGAGTTGGATCTAGTGTTCCTGGTATTTGTAACTCCAGTCATCAGTGTAATAGTTTCAGTCTAACATCATTTTATTTATTTTTTAAGATTCTCCAACATCAAATCTTAATGATATGATGTCAGAGTAGGAATATCAAAGAAAAGAAATATTCACTTAAAAGAAATAGCATAGGAAATCCAAAGTGGTGGTACAGACAAGGCAATAGCCATTATACTTCCCAATACAGAACCTCTTATGTTTAACCCAAAACTGCTTATTTTCCCTTATCCCTAGAATGCCCAATGGAGCCCTTCTCTAGAATACATATTTGAAAAATATTTATCTACATCACTGGAAAACCTTTAAGAATAGTTTATTGTTTAAAAGGAATTAACTGAACTATTATTTTATATCTAGTAAATATCAATTTATGAAAATTTATTAATTTATATCTAGTAAATAAGAATTTATTAATATCATATCCCACTATCACACATTTCCAATTCCATTTACACTTCTGGCCATGCCTGTAGGAGATAAGTGAAACAAAACGCATTTAAATGAATATACAGTAAACATAAAAAAGAAAATACTTCAAAAATATTCTGTACATCAGATTACATCATCACCACCTGCCACTAGACCTTCCAGGTATCCAGCATTTATCTTTTATACTCGATTTTCAGTCTTGCTATTCATTTATTATTTGAAGAAATATTTTGTGTAACAGCAGCTATATCTTTAGGTGACAATTTGCCCTATTAAACTTTGTGATATGTCTGCTGTTGCATTAAAAAACAAAAACAAAAAAAGAACCATTTACCACTCAATGTATGTTACAAAAAACTATTCGAGATGTTTGTGTACATTCTTTGTACTTGTTTCTTTTGTACTATTTGAAATGCAAATTGTGTGTGTATATTTCTTTTGTAAGTATCAAAAGAGATACAAGACACATTGCAAAATTTTCAGTTGAAAAACATGACAAGCTCTAAGACAATGTCAGTACCTCAAGAGTCAAAATAATTCTTCTGAGCATTCTAGTAAATTTTCTTCTTTTTCATACAACCTACATTTCATAAGCTTCAATTGTTAACAAGCTTCAATTGCTAACACGCTCCAAATAATGAAACACTACAAAAAGTAAAAAGACTAAAATCTTATGAACAGAATAGACATGGGAAGCAGTTAAATAGAGCCAGGAGAAAAAGGATGCCACTGGGCATTCTAAATGTGTACATGTAAAATTCACACCAATTTGGCATGCTAATTTTAAACAACATGCTTCTCAATTGTAAAGTACAGGAATAACATGAGCATTCATTCCTTTTATAACTCACCGGTTGCTCCTCCAAACTTCCCCACTCTTCAGTATCCCAACCATCTGTACCCTTCTTTTCAACTTTCTCAACACCTTCAACAGCTGGACTTCGAGATTCAGAACTACCAGAAGGTCCCCCTTGAGTCTGAAATTTGATAATACCTCCTGTATTATTGTCAAAAATGTTTGCAAGACATATGAAGGTGCTTTTTTTATTTCCAAGCATTACAAATCATCAATGCTAGTTTTCCAGGCACTTGCTCTTTACAACCTTTCACAATGTATGTATACTGACAAAGTATATTTGAATTATTATAATAAATAATGGTAGTAAATGATTATCCTGTTGAAGATGACAATGAGAAGAAGAGAAAGAAAGAAGAAGGAGGAGGAGGAGGAAAAGAGGAGGAGGAGAAGAGGAAAAGGAGGAGGACGAGGAGGAGGAGGAGAAGAGGAAAAGGAGGAGGACGAGGAGGAGGAGGAGAAGAAGAGGACAAGGAAGAGGAGGAGGAGGA